GACTGTGTTTGTTGTTTGTTTTCTTAGTCGCTGTGTATCGACATCAACGAGGTGACTGTGTTTGTTGTTTGTTTTCTTAGTCGCTGTGTTTTGTTATGAAGTTTCCGTATACGTTATTTTGTGCGTTCGGTGTTGTGTGGACACGTTGAGCTGGCGGAGAAATATGACCTGTGAGCTGTGTCGTGAAACATTGGTGATTGCTCGCAAATCTGTGAACTAATATGTACATACATACATAAATATATAGATATATAGAGAATCATTACTGCGTATCAGGTTTTCCAGCTGTACAGTGTGCCTTGTGGTTCTTGTGGGTGGTGTGTCTATTGCGTAGTTTGATGTTGTGTTTGACGTACATACCTACTTGCTTGCATCCATTCCCACATCTGGTAATCCTAGTAGCGCACATTCTACAACACTCAAAGGTCCCGGCCACTGTGTAGCCCAGGCCTTTCCTGAGCTCAGCCACACACACTACTCTGTCCGCACATTGCTATTTTATACATAAAGAGCTCACACTAAGGCCTTATTTTATCTCCTGCGCTGCACACGCACCCCAATGCTACGCCCAATCACAGTCGCAATGGTATGACGTTCCGTACAAACAACTGCATGCACTCATGGCATATATACTCATCGTTTGGTAATGTACATACTTATCGTCTGGTGTTGTTTATACCCATCGTTTGGTAATGTACATACTTATCGTTTGGTATTGTATATACCCATCGTTTGGTATTGTATATACTCACCGCTTGGTATCCTCTGTCTTTCTGTGCAGCGCCCGCAATGGCACACATACGATTCGGAGGCATTCGCCAACGCCATCCTCAACACCACACACTGCTCAGCGCTCATCAAACCAACCGCAGACTACAGTGACCTGTACATCTCCCATTCGTCCTGGTTCTCCTACAGTGCCACCAACCGCATCTACAAGCACTACAATTTCGGTACACGAAAGGGCGGCAGCGCTACGAAGATGTCCTTCTCGTCGTATGCGGGACAGATCTCGTCACTTGATGACTTCTACATCATGGACAATGGTGTGTTACGTGCTTTATGGAGCATGGTAGTTTTAAATGTCAGGACATACATGTATATGTATTTATATATATATATGAATGTGTGTGTGTGTGTGCATGCGTGTAGGCTGGCCTCAATCACTTCATCAGGTGTGGGTGATTTTTCATCCGCTATCCTGTCGTGATTCTGTCACTGGCGTTGCTGCAGGCAACACTATCATGTCCCTCGTGCGTGCATATCTGCTATTATCCATCTCTGCCATACCACCAGCACTCAGCGTATTCGCTCATATTTTTCCGCGTGCACAGTACAAACCATTCCTACAACCAGGTGTATGTGCTTCCTACGTGCTTGTCAACATTAAATTGCTTCTGCATATGGTTTCACCACTCCCCACAGGACTGGTCATGACTCAGACCACCAACAACGTATTCAACAACGAGTTGTTCGATCTGGTGCATCCCGAGAGTCTGTTGGCGTGGCAACGCGTGCGGTTGGCCAATCAGGTGGCGGAAAATGGCAAGCAATGGAGTCAAACGATCGAATGGCACAACAGTGGCACTTACAACAACCAGGTATGCGCGAGTGACCTCTGGGCGGGCAGTTTGTGTGTCCACTTTGGGCATTTGGTGTGTGTACTGCTGTGTGCCATTGTGTGTCCACTTTGGACATCTGGGTGATTGGCTTCACATCATGTAATGATATATAGAGCCCATGCCCACTACTCTCGCTATCTAAATCCCCTGTTTGGTATCGTCCCTATGGAACGTGATGTTGGTTCAGATCACTTGCTTGTGACTATCTCCATAGTCTGCACCTGCTCATGCCTGATCCACATTAACCAACTGAGCACCGTGTATTTATCACCACCACAGTACATGGTGGTGGATCTCAACAAGTTCAAGCCCAAAGAGGAGTTGCAAGACGGCCTTCTTTGGGTCTCAGAGCAGATTCCGGGCCACGTGTCGTATGCCGATGTCACCAATGTATTGCGCGATTCTCATTGGCCATCGTACAATGTCCCGTACTTCAAAGACGTCTACGCCAAGAGTGGATATCCTGCGGTGAGTTATATATTGCAATTTGCATTACACAGTGGTAGCCTAATCGCTTTTAGTTGCCCTCTCCGGGAGTATTAAATTGTTCGGTATAAAGATATACTGATTCGTCGGTCGCTGTACTCTCTTTGGTGTAATGCTGATATCCGCCATCACTCGTATAGACAACCATACCTCCATTTGACCTTAATCTTTTGTTTTGTTTTGTTTTTTCTTTTCTCCTGGTGGTCGTTTGCCTATCGCGTGAGGCTGTGAGTCCTGTAGTCCCTCGTTCACCTGACGTACTGCTGCCCTTAATTGTCTATTCTCAAATGGCTTGGCATTTCTTGACAGTGTTCTTCATTATTTATTCTTTTTATTTCATTGCATTGGTTGTTTTCGCAGGCTTGGCATTATTTGACAGTGTTATTTGTTATTTGTTCTTTTTATTCTATTGCATTGGTTGTTTTCGCAGGCTTGGCATTTCTTGACAGTGTTATTCATTATTTATTCTTTTGCTCTGTTTATGTTTGCTTTCTCAGGTGGTTGAACAGCGAGGCTTTGAGTACAGTTATCAGATGGCCCCCCGCGCAACTATCTTCAGGTATGCACTGCACGTATGCAGTTCCAAAGGATATCACATGTGAGCATGAGCAGTTCCAAAGGATATCACATGTGAGCATGTGTGACACCTCTTCCATCTGTGTGGCCGTGAAGGTCTTCTATTGTGTGGTTTCGTAAGTGCTTCTCATCCGGTTGTGAGGCTGCCTGTATAATGAACGTCTCATACTTTGTATCGGACAGGAATGTCATTGCCAGATCTTTGACCCCTCGTGGGTAGTCACGTACTGTGTGGTGTGGATTCAAGTACTTCTCTAGCACATCTTAAAGCTGTATGTCTTCACTTTGTTCCAAGCGATCTCTCTCTCTCACCGCCAGTCCATCTGTCCCTACTCACGTGCATAGTTATCTCATGCTACGCCTGTCAATCCACTCTGCCCATGCCCCACTTGCACTTGTGCATTCATGTTTACTGTTGACCCAACTTATGGGGGGAATGTCCGGACGACTTCAATACGCGTGTCGGCGCATTTCTCACGTCACTTTACTCTTCTGTCGCCATTTCAAAATGATAATACAGGCGCGATGGAGGAAAAGTGCAGGATCTAGACGGAATGGAGCATCTCATGAGGTAATGCTTTATGTAGTACTGGCATCACTGCCTATAGTACTTTGAGTCGTGTGGCTTGCATGGATGACTGGCTGCATTTAGTTGGGTGTTAGTCGCTCGGTAGTTTGTTGGGTCTGTGGTCTTTTTTCAATTGGTTTTATCCATCTTCATTTGACAATCTATCATCACTCTATAACACTATAGTTATCACACGTCATTCCATCATCGCATCATAGCACTGTAGCTATCACATACTATCATCGCTCTATAGCACTATAGCTGTCATACAGAACACTGAAATCACCTTCACATTGCAGCAGTTTATATCCATACATTCTCGAATACATGTACTTATGTTTTTTTATTATGCTCTTTATGTCTTACTCATCTCAGTCTCTCACGTATCTCTATGCAGATTCAATGAGTACGAAACGGACCCTCTGTCGCTTCACGATCCTTCTAACTCTATCTGCTCGCGACCCGATCTGCGCATCGAAGGCAAAGGAGTGACCATGGGATGCTACGACACAAAGGTCACCTCTGCAACACTCGCCAAGGTAACCACTGCCACCGTTCATGAGTGTGTTCATGGCATCGCTCACACTGAGCCCAATAGTTTGTTCGTTCTTGCGTTCTATGATGGACTTGACATGTTTATGACATGCTCTGTATATTTATGTGATATTAAGGTTCGTATAACATGTCCTGTGTTTCAATATTGAGTTGTAAATAGGCCTGTCACGAGTTATACGTCCTTATATGCGTGCATTGTTTCTGTACAGCCGCAACGGCCTGTGTTGTGTTATGATCATGATTATTATGTTTTGAATGTTATGCTATGAACATACCCGCTGTTCTGTGCTCGCACTCTTCGAATTGTGTTGAAGACAAGTGTCATATGTCTTGTGTACTCATGTGGGTGGATTTTACCGAGGGGTCCAATATATAATACATATACATACATATGCATATGTATATATACTTGCAGGTACTTGTTATATATATAGTACGTCGTATGTGTTCTTGCGAATGAATTTTAATGAGGAATTCTGAACACTTATTTCATATGCTAATGCAAGTGCTCGGTAAATGCGCCAACAGTGGATCAGGCCACCTTTGTTCACATATGTCACGGCCACAGTGAGCAATTCTATGCTATACCCCTGTCCTCTTAACGTATATGTTGGCACACGTATTGTGTAGTGTGATAGTCGAGCTGCTGTTACTTACTCTGCATGATAAAAAACGTTTTATGCATTCAACGTAAACTGCTATCGTTGTGCTCTCGCCTCGTTCTCGCCTGAGAATACTGGCCCGTTTTACATCTGACGTGTCATGCTGTTGTATATATTCGACTTATTTGTATCTGCTAAATCTGTTTGTTGTCACATGCTGCAAGTACAATATATATAACCTTAGATATTATTTAGTAGCGAAATTACATGTCTACACTCGAAGAATCGTATTATTTCTTAATATACAACCCCTTCTGTCCGCGCAGGATATGATTGCTAGCGCCATCAACGGCCCGACACACGGCACCAAAAACAGTCTACCCACTTTCACCTGGGAAGGAGAATGGAACTCCGAACCTCACTATGGTTTACCCGAGAAATACAACTTCGGTACGTTCATTATTAGTGTCGAGGTGGTACGAATGGCATGAGCTAGAAGTTCGATATAACTTAAAGTATAATCCAGATTTAAAGTATATTGATGCGAGTAACAAATTGGAAATAAAGAGTATCGTTCGGTTCAATTACACGACGTGCCCGTCTACACGGATTTTAATCACGGACTTAAAACCCCCTCCCCTACAGACTTCGTCGACATGGATCCTAAATGGACGGAATTCTAGACCCCGTTCCAAAGACGCCAGGGAAAAACAAACTGCGGAGCTTCGAATAAGTCATACACTAAGGACTGGTACCTTAGACTAGTGACCCATAGCGAAATAAAACCTGCGCATCAATACGTCATAGGCTAAAGACTACTTTCTCAGACTACAGAACAATAGCGAAATAAGACCTGAGCTTTAATAAGTCATAGGCTAAGGACTATTATCTTAGATTAACGATCAATAGTTAAACAAAACCTGAGCACTAGTACGTCATAGGCCATAGACTACTATCTTAGACTACAGAACAATAGCTAAACAAAACCTGAGCATTGATAAGTCATAGTAAGTCATAGGCAATGGACTACTATCTTACCCTAAAGAACAATAGCTAAACAAAACCGGAGCATTTATTAGTCATAGGAAATGGACTACTATCTTAGGCTAACGAACAATAGCTAAATAAAACCTGCGCATCAATACGTCATAGGCTAAAGACTACTTTCTCAGACTACAGAACAATAGCGAAATAAATAGGCTAACGAACAATAGCTAAATAAAACCTGCGCATCAATACGTCATAGGCTAAATACTACTTTCTCAGACAACAGAACAATAGCGAAATAAAACCTGAGCATTAGTAAATCATAGGCTAAGGACTACTATCTTAGACTAACGATCAATAGTTAAACAAAACCTGAGCACTAATACGTCATAGGCTATGGACTACTATCTTAGACTAACGAACAAAAGCTAAACCAAACCTAGAGCATTGATAAGTCATAGGCTATGGACTACTATTTTAGACTAACGAACAATAGCTAAACAAAACCTAGAGCATTGATACGTCATAGGCTATGGACTACTATCTTAGACTAACGAACAAAAGCTAAACCAAACCTGAGCATTGATAAGTCATAGGCTATGGACTACTATCTTAGACTAACGAACAATAGCTAAACAAAACTTGAGCAATGATAAATCATATAT